TTGCACCAGGATATGACTGGAGTGCAAGTCCCCGGATTACTGGAATCCCAACCCACTGGGTGGCAGTGCTGTCCCAGTCTTTCCCTCGGTTTGGATTTCCTGGAATGCAGATGGACACAGTGATCTGCTCCACCGAAAAACAGTTCTAGGTATTGTGTCCAGGTCTGATTCCTGGGACAGTTACATGCTGTGCAGAAGAGGCAAAGGTACAGTAGGGCCAGCATCTGGGTCACTTGCACTGGAAGAAAAATAAATACTCAAGAGGTCAGGCCTGGGACACCTAGCAATACTCTTGGACAAAGTCTGGGAACATGCTCTTCTCCTCCTTCCCTCTCTAGTTGCTGGAAAGAGCCAACTTGCCATTAAATCAAAGACAGAAAACACAGTGCAAAACAAATCCATCTGAGCAGAGAGCACTGCCTCCTCTGCAGCCTCTCCCACTTTTTCTAAGTTTCCTTTGGCCTTATACAGTATCAAGAATAATATTTCTCTCATGCTGGTCTGGGAAGAAGCCCTGGGTTCACACGATGCAGAGGGCTCAGCATCTCGACAGGGCCCAGCTGCTCCTGGCAGGGCTAAGCAGGACATTAGCAGGTCCCTTAAAGCAGTCGCCACCAGGCCCTTCCCTCAGAAACTGCTTGAACTCCCCTCTCTTTCTCAAGCAATATAATCTATCCCTTGAAACTTCGTTATTCAAGTCCATCCTCACATTTCTTGTTCTAATCCATCCTACAGTCCCTCCTTCTGCACTAGCCTTGGCTTCACTAACTCACACTAACTTGGCCCAGAACTCTACTTAGCTGACTGAAAAGGATGGGCCAAATCTACTAACTTTCCCCGGACTTTCCTCTTAGTTCTGCTGGGAAAACTGGCTTGCATACCAAATGATAAAGCCAGACATTCCTTTACTCCTTCCTATATTTTTATCGACGCACTGAAGTTTTGGCGAGCACCTCGGAATCTTGGCACAGGGCCTCCTGCTGGAGTTTGCTGTACGGTCTCTTCCAACCGTGTCTCCGTTTCAGGGCTCCATCCTGCTCACTCATTGAAGCAGTCAATGGGAGGCTTCTTACTGCCTTTACAACAGCCTGTCTACACGCGCACACAACACAGAGAAGCACGGTCCTTGTCGCTAATGTGAAATTGAGGACATTTTCTAGTTTAAAAATGAACCAAGTGTGGTTCAACAAGCAAAAACAATGTCAGTTACTTTCACAGAGACAGATTCTGCATTATCTGTATTTCACAGTACAGCCACACACATCTCCGTAGAGATGCCTAATCCGTGGTGCTGCCCCTGACACCAGTGCAGCTCTGGGGCCAGCAGTGGCCACACGTGAGCATACAGAGCTGTGGCTTTGCTCCATTCCCACTGCGAAATATCGGATTCGCTCAGAAATACTGCCATCTTCATAGCAGCTTGTGAAGAGTTGTTTTTATTTGGCTCCCTGCTCTTTGTGCCTTCCAGATTCCTGGAGCAATCCTAAGGACTAGAAACATGCTGAAAAAACATTCAGGATCAGCAACTTTATGAAGATGCCCAAAGTCAGGAAAGTTGTACGAAAATTGCAAGAACTGGTAGCACTGTGTCCTCAGTGTCCAGCAACAAGCTGGGGACAGGCAGAGAGAAGGCAGAAACCAAGATTCAAGGAAACCTGTAATTTTCTCTTTCTAGTGAGGGTTCTCTCTTGTTTGTTACACATCCTCACCTCCACAAAGCGCGGCTGCAATCAGAGTTTCTGTCCAAAGGACACGGGGTGTCTCAGAGCACAAACCCAGTGACTGCAGCGGAGGCAGCGCAGAGCAGTGTCCCCGTGGCAGGAGCTGGGCCGTGCTGCCCCGTGCTGGTGGTGCCCCGGCTTCCCTGGGTTCCCTCGAGTGCTGCCTGCCAAACACCAGCCTGTACCTATATCACGCTTCCTTTAAAAGCTACCAAAAAAAATGGAAGGAGCGGGAGTAGAAATTATTACTAATTACCAGAACTGCAGGAGGTTAATTAGTTTCACCAAATAATTACTTGAATTGTAACAACTGTGCTGCAATCAAAATCCAAATCTGTATGCTTGTTTACCTGCCTGGGTATTCTTCATATCCCCAGACGCTGGGACTGATCTAATTTGAGGCACAGCTCAAAATCCTCTCCAAGCCCCAGCTCCTGGGAACGCAGACTGGGAACCTGGGAACGCTCCTGGCCACCTGCAGCCGCTGCAATGTAAATCCAGCCAGGGAGGAAAGGGAGCTGTGTTAAGCTAATAACAATGTTGGCATAAGAAAAGAGGAGAAAAAACTGGCCATGATTATATTTCGACTAGAAATAAGGATAGTTTCATGATTCATGCTGTGGTGATCCATTAAAGGATTACTGCCCCCAGCTGACACGCCACATGCTTAAGTCAACTGCTCTCCATTTCAGTTTACGCTAAGATGCTGGGCACCCTAGTGACACCCAAGTGCACTTAGGTGACCTTGGTGAGGTCAATAGCTGGGCTGCTGTAAATAGTCTCACTTTGTCACTTGGAGTTTCCAGAGCTCCTCTGGGCAGAATCCTTAGAAAATGCTCATTGCTACAACTGACAGATTCTGGCAAGAAAAAAAAAAAAAAAGAAACCCTAAATATTCTTAGGATAAAACTCAAAACATATATGAAAATAAATATGTGAACATAGTGCTTGTGCTAGCTGACTCCTTTGCTCGTAAGCAGATAAATTTATGAAGTCAAATGAAGTCAAATAAGTGGATTATTAGAGTATTACCAAACTTCCAAGTGGATGTCTTTTTCAAAATTCAATTCAACTTAACTTTTCCAAATTTCCAGACTAAAAATATTTCCAAACTAAAAATAACGCACTTTTTAAGTGCAGGATCTTATTTTAGAGAACAATTCCAAGAAGACTTAGAAGACGATTTTATTCATCTTTCTTAGCAGATCATTTCCACAAGCTGCTGTTTTGTTCGGCACAGTCTATATGATGCCAGAGCAAGCAGATTACAGACACGCAAAGATTTGCCACAATCATCAATTCACCTTTTCCTTCTTTCAGCGTCCTGCTTTATCCAACAAAGCTGCTAGTTGTCTCAAAGTATGTCCAGAGGACACAGGTATGTGGAAGAATGAGTTATAGAACTGACAATATAATCTGATCTGAGGCCATCCTGGATATTAGTAGGTAACTGACAGCACAGGAGCAAGATCACAGCTGTAGCTGTTCCGACTCATCCAAGACCACAGAAAAATCTGCTCTACTTAATTGCTATTGCACAGATTTTTTTTTAACTACTTAGTACTAATTCACAATATAGGTACACTTCAGATAATAAGACTTGAAAGAGTTCTCCACGGACAAAATATCCTGTAAGTTATTAGCCTCTTTGCCACGATATGGGAAGCCTTGGACATTACCAGGATCACTACATTTCCTGGCCAAACTGCATATAAAGAGAATTCAGCAGCAGGCATCTCATCTACTCTGCTGCTCTTTGCCCTATGCTTACTAGTGCCAAGGAAGACCAGCTAATTCTAAAGGACAGTCTTTATACAGAAACAGTGTGACAAATTTCTACAATACGTTCACCTTGGAAAAATAAAATAAAAGCAGTCATTAAAAAGCATTTCTTAGATCCTACTTTTTTATTGAAGAAGATTGAGAAGGTATGTTTGATCTGGAAAAGAAAGCAATTACTCAGGAATTTTATGTTCATTTTGGTCAAAACAGGGGAAGCACAGAGCTATGGTAAAAGCGATATTCAATAATATGATTTATCTACTTCAAACTTTAGTTTGAAGCTTTTTAGCTTAGTGTTGCTCTAAAATAAGAAGTTTCCCTTTAGAGGCAAACCTTCTAACGTGTCCTCGCAGTGGCTCATTCTCACTTCTGAAATGTGATTTGTCACCCCCTCAGTTGTGCTGACACTGCTGCTTGCAGAACGTGCTATAAAACAGGCCACTGGGTAATCTGGGTTAAAACAAAGACAATACAGCTTGTCTTTGGATGGATATTTTTAACCTGCAGTCCCACAAGCCGCTGTATCAGCAAACAGGAGAGAGCAGAAAATAGCAGGCTGCGGAGAGCAGAAGTAAGTGAGGAGTGAGGAAAGGGACTGGCACACTCCTCTGAAACCAGCTTCCTTGCTGAAAACCACATCTTGCAGTCAGATGCTCCTCTTCTCCCGGCTCACACTTGGTGGAATTCTCCTGATGAGCGTGAAAATGCCCCTGGAAACACAGGCAGCACCTTCTGTGTGCAGCCTTAAGCAAACAGAAGCTGCAGAGTCTGCACACAGGCGACATTGCACGGAGTGAAGGCAAAGGGCCACTTTCTATTTATTTTTTTAATAAAAAAGCCTAAATCTATACTTCCATATCAAGCCCAAGGATTTTTTTAAAATATTATCTTCAGAATAAGCTCTTTTCTCAAGTTGGAGGTATCAGCTGCAGCTCAAATTTCCCAAGCTGTCACTTATATTTAACAAAAGTCTAATTTCTTTAAAGCACATAAAAACCTCTCAACTTAGCTTTTATAGGTACATAGCTGATCAGGCAAATCTGAAAGACAGAGCCCCTTGTAAGAGACCATCTTTCTCACCCCTGAGCACCCCACAGGCTCTGCCAGAGTTCACTGTGAGCAAGAGAATGAGCTGCTGCTCACAGCAGCGGCACCTGCACAGGGGACCCTCGCTCTGCAGGCAGGGCTGACTTTGCTTAGCACCATCTCTCTTCCATTTTCTGTTTCCAGAGAGGCATCTACCACAGATGTGCAGGAATGGCCATACTCAGGATGCTCTCCAACAGCTAGCGTGCTCCCCCATCAGAGGCGCCTCAGAACTCGGCTCGGAGCAGCATTCGCCGAGATCCCGGGACAGGACGTGGTGAAAGATTCGTGACCTTGTGGTGGCACAGCCCGAGGGACCGACCCCTACTTCTCACACAGCTGGGCGGTTTGTGGCACGTTTGCATGCTAAGGTAAAGACAACTCCTCCGCTGTTGCCGTGCTCTGCTTGCTTCAGGATGGTGACGGAGCAGGTGACACCAGGCAAAGACGCTTCCTTCTGACCATGGATTTCAGAGAGGCTGAGATCTCTCTATACCGCAGCCCGTACAGGAAAGGGAACAAAACTTTAGGCAGAATCATCAGGATGTTGCAGATTGCCAGGGAGACCCACATTCCTGTCTTCAGCCCAATGACAGAGTTAATATACAAAAGAGATTCTACAAGAAAGGCCAGCAGTGGAGAGAAGTAAAAGAATAGCACAGTGTGGTGCATTAAGAATGTCACACTGGCTCTAGAGGAGATGCTCTCCCATATCCCGGATTTTCTTGTTTTAAAATACAGAATAGCATAGCAACAGAGCATTACAAACAGACAGAGAAAGACAACAGAGGCAGCAAGCCAGTAACAGAGTTTCGTAGCATTGGTCCCATTCAGTGTTAATACTAGGATCACTGGAACGGAGCACATTTCCAGGACGCAGGGCATATAGTTCTGAGTGCTCCATAGCAACAAGAATAAAATTGCAAGGAAAACTGCAGAGCAGATCCATAGTAATACAATGACTTTTTTCGTTCGTGAAGCAGGCAATATAGTAATGTAGCGCAAAGGAAATGAAATAGCTATGTATGTGTCCAAGACCATGGCAGCTGCTGTGAACAATCCTCCACAGTAAGCCAGTGCCAGCAGAAACAGCAGGAGGACACAAGTTTCCTTGGGGAGCGTTAGATTTGCTGCATTAAAAACAGCAGACAGGGTGTAGAAAAAAATGTATATCAGGTCACAGAGCAAAGCGTTTCCCAGCAGCATGTACCTTGTTTCCTGACGGATATTAAACCTGGAGAGAATCACAAACAAGATGGATGGAATGATGAGGACACCTGCCATGAAGCAAACAAGTGGAGGAATTAAAAACACCTTCGTGTTTGTATATGATGGGCTGAAAGTCCATTCCCGCAAGTAGTACAAGAAAGCTTCATCCAAAGGTGAGGAACTGTTGGACTCTTCCTCCCTGTCGAGGTATGGAGTTGTATTCAGTCTCTCTACAAAAGCAGAGACAGAGAAGTCCATTTCTTTAGCGTTTGGGGCTGTCTGCATGATTTGAAGAAATCAAGGTCTTCTATAGACTCTGAGTCCTTAGAAGGGCAGATGAAGTGGAGGATGTAATAAGCCTGTGGAGACCCAGTAACTTCTGTAGCCACTTCTACCAGCTCTTCGGAGGGACAGGAAATTGAAACCTGTCAGCAAATCCTGTGGTGCCAAAAAATGCATTGCATATAGCAGAGATTTTCTTTTCTTTCTGCAAAATCTGATCTTTAGAAAAGAGAATGAATCTATGTGTGCTTTAAAAAATCTAAATCCTACAGCTAGCTCTTTGATCAGGAGCTGAATGGGTTGATCATTATTAGTAATTGGAGTTTGTTCCCACTACATTATCACGCCAAAGAGACAGATGGAATATTGGCTTGATTCAACAGATGTGAGCTGATAAGTGAGCAATGTTCCAAGTGTACTGATGTAGAAGAGTCATAAATGTGGTTAGATAATATTTTGAATCATTTTTACTGAAGAACATGATTGATTTGAAGTGATCAATAACAATGGCTTCAATACTGTTGTTAAATTATTACAACGGCTCCAGTGAAATAAATGATCTTATTTACAGATGATAGACATTTTTGCTTCAGTGAATTAAATCAGTTATTTATAGATGTTAAACCTTCCCCTGCCTCAGTTATCACAGACTTGAAGTCAATCTAAATTGCCTGAACTGAGCAACACCCACTATAAAATGCTAGCATGTAGACTGAGTATTTCCAATGTCCATTTGGGACCCATCCTTGGTTTACTGGTTGACTCCGCACTGCTTGGCTCTTACTGTTCAGATCTCTGAGTATCAGGCCTGGCAGTGCAATCAGAAAGTGTGCAGCATCTAGACGGTGGAAAAGGAACTCTTCAGGTTCTTCCAGGAGTGGCCCATGTTCTTCTAGGAGTGGCCTGACTTGAATAAAAACTGAATTTATTCATAGGCCCAACAGTGACTAATAATGTATTGCCTGTATTGATGCTCTGTACATCATCCTGCATGATGCAAAGTGGGTGACAGATATGAGACTGTTGCGAAGAACACTGAAAGGAAGATATTTATGTGTCTGCATTGTACACTATACAAAAAGAACTCTAGTAGCTCCTCAGCAGTCATAAAAAAGCTTTTGTGCTTGACTATGAAGGATGAAGCTGTGCATTCAGCCAAGGAACTATGCTGGAAAAAAATAAGGATGGACTTGTTAAAATGCTTGATTGTCTTGCCTCTTACTTTGTGGTGAGAGCCAGAGAAACCTCTGCTTAGATGAGCCGAGCAACAGCACCTCAGAGCTCTCCCATTTTAACACCCACTTTTAGGAGACTAGGGAATCTGTCCCTATGTGCACTGCCTGAAGAGACATCAGGCTTATTCCTCTGTGCTGAGGGCAGGGACCAGGTTGCCCATGCTCTGCACACACAGTATCTCCTCCCTCCATAGAGCAGCACTGGGCTGTGATATTTGGGGTCATTAACATGTTTCATTCATTTGGTGCTCCACAGCATATTGAGGCTCAGGCTACTATGAGTTACTCCCCATGGCTGCTAGCATGCGCTTGGGAAGGAGACGAAGAATTCATTTTAAACCTGAGCATGGCCTACAGTGCTCTAATAGTAACTGGCCTGAATGCCAGAGGTGAGTAATGAGGGGTAGCATATTGACAGGAAGCATCACAGAAGCTAAAAAAATCAAAGCAGCTAAAAGATCAAGGCGGGATTTTACTTCTCTAGGCTGCCACATTCTTGGGAGAATCAAAGGAAGTTGGTTGGAAGGAGATAGGCCAAAGGGTCACTAGGCCTTAAGATTGCCAGGAGAACTCCTCCTCTTCCTCCTGTGAGGGAAGCTACCCAGGAGCAGCCACCAGGCTGCCTGGGACCCAAGTGGATGGAGAAAATAAATTCTGCTTCCTTTTGAGCCTCATGTTTTGCACTTCTGAGTAATGACTAAGGCAACCTGCCCTGCAGATGCTGCTCTCGTGCCAATGCACACTTTTGTGCTCTCAAGTGCCCGAGAGATGGCGGCAGGTCAAAGAAGAAGTAGGACTGTCATCTTTCTCTCAGGCAGAGGAATATCAAAAGAAGATTTAGTCTGATGAAGCTTTGGCGTAAAACTTCATTTAGGCCAGCTGGTTTATTAGACTTTCCAAACATTTACCACTTCCGTGTCTGCCTACGTGGTCCAAGCACTATTGACTTCCATGACTGAAGAGTGGATTTTTCTCAAAATGTGGGACCATCAAACAGTTCTAAGCTTTATAGTAGAGCAGAAAAAGAACACTGTTTTTTCAACAGTGCACATCTCTGTGTTAAGACTTCCACTTCTTACAGCAAGCTCACAGTAAAATGCCCCATGCCAACCAAAACCACACTACAGTGACGGGTAGACATGGCTTCCTTTGCTCTAAAGCTGACTGCATGAAAGAAACTATAAGGACTCCGGGAAAGCCTGGACTAAGTGAGAACTATCTTTCAGTGTATCCTTTGGATGTTAGTGAATGGGATGACAAGACAAGATGGCCCAAACCAGTAATTTAAAAGGATGTTACAGTGAAGAGGGTGTTCATTGTACCTGTGATTCTGAATAATTTATTAAATGGAAGGTGAAGCATCAATTTTAAATTGTACAAAAGAGGGGAAAAAAAACCACCCTCATATTGTAAGTGCATAATTAAAAGAAATAATAGAAAAAAAACCAACAAAGTTTGTTTGTTACACAGTATGCTACAATCTCAAATTAGGAATCAGCTTTCCACACGGAGGACCGTGAAACACAAGGTTTGTCTAAGACAAGGACTCAAACCAGGCTGCATTTATTATGCTCCTGTACTCAGAGATATATTGTATTGACAGATTGGGCAGCCGTTCCTACACATCCCTCATCCCTTTAGGATGGACAGAAGAGGAAGGGATGTGATCTGTTACAAAAGCAATGCCTAAGAATAAAAATGCCTGAAGTTCAGACAAGCCTTTTGGCAGTCTTGACAATTCTACAAGGACCTCCCACATGCACCAGTACAGCCAGACCTTCAACTACTGTTTCAAGTATGATTTTCCTTCTCCTCTCAAGCAATATGGATTCTACTACTATAAGAACAGTGGGAAGACAGGTCCCATGCCAAAGATCGGGCTCATTATTTTTCCAACACCACCAGCATGCATGAACATTCTGGCAGAGCAGAGCCGCTCAGTGCGGGTCTCTCCAGAGGAGACTCACCCTGCAGAAAGACATGCTGAGCTACGGACACGCTGTCTCAGGGCACGCCAAGAATTGGAGCTGGCAGCTTGTGAAAGTCAGCATCAGTCACCAAACCTGCTGCCCATCTTTCATGTCCCTAGCACACCAACAGCTGGCACCCACACTGTACACTAGGACAGTTTGACAGGCTGCACCATAAGGAACAAAGGGGTCGGAGGAAACCCAATGATGCTTTTAAGAGTGGTGTTTTAGTTGCTATGGTGCCTGTGTAGTTAAAATATAAGATGGATATTTTTGCTTGCTCAGTTCTGCATCCGGTGAAAAGTGTGTGAATAGCACTGGTGCAATTATGTATTTGGCTTCAGGATCATGCCCTTCATCTATCAATAAGTCACACAACACAGCTAATACCCTACTAAATAGACAGCTCAAGCACCCCAACTGCAGAATTTATGCTTATAGTGCAAAATGGATAGGAAGCAATGAAATTTCAAGGAACTGTGAATAGCCTAAAACTATAATTTCAAAGCTCTGTAAGTGTATGCTGCCTCCCAGTTCTTGGTATTTATAGGATGTCATATTATTACGCAGATTTTCTTGTTTCTGTATAATATCACAACTGTATTTTTCACCATCTGGCTAGGAATAAATGTCAACAAACAGAAGAGCTCATTGTCATATCAACTGCACACTTTAGGCTGACGGAAAAATAAATACAGATATAAAGTAAGATGAGCTGTTGTATATAAGTGCAAAAAGCATTGGTGAGATTGTCTAATGCAGCCAAATATTTCACGAAGGAGTTACTTTTCAACTAACGTCTACAAATAACATTCTCATGGTAGGGGTACCTCTTCATTTTGGGTAAAAGAGACGGGGATCCTGGGCCAAGAGTCCCAGTTACATCTGGGGCAGTAACAAACACCAATCCTCTACGCCATTAATAACTCCCCACTAGCTGAAGGATGGCAGAGTAAGGCCTAAGACCTGATCTTGTTGGGCTCTAACTGTGCTAAAAGCCTTAGGAGTGCAAGCAGGACTTCCTTTACAAAAATAGGAAATAACACATGATCTGAAGACAGGTTCAAACCCATCAGACGTGGACAAGTCCACTCAAGTCCTCATCTTTCCATCAGTCCTATGGCAGCTTAGTATCATTCTGCTGGATTTAAAATTTGAAAACATTTGGTGGCTTGACACAATAACATAGAGCCAGAACCGCTAGATCTGGAGAACAGGTAACTATTTAATTTACTTGAACTTAAAGAGTTGTTTCAGCACCCAGACCACCGGCCACAGAGCTGGCATCCCTGAAGACCACTCCTGAGGATATCAAACTGTGATAGCTGCCTTGCTGTTGCAGCTCACTGTTCAATATACTGTGGTGCCAACCTGAATGATTCTCCTGCAATTTCCTGTAAATCTGGTGCTAATGTTCTAGATATTGATTTCTTCTGTTCAGTGCTGTCTGGTAAATTTATGTTAGCTGGATGAACTTTTTACATATCTTGCTGATTCAGACCTACTGTATTAGTAACCTCTCTTCTGGCTCTTATTTTGCAGTCTGCATTGATTTTCCAATTGAGCCATACACTGTTAATTATTACTTTACTCATCCTGCCTCGCCCAAACCACCCTCCTGAAAGCTCAGCTATCTTGTCTGTTGAGTGTGCAAGAGCTAAAGAAGCATGTGTTCAGCTATACTGAGCAACCATAAATGAAACATCAGAGACTGAAGACATTATAGTCCGTTAAAACCACAAACAGGTGTTGCCAAATTGAACAGAAATGG